AGACTTATTTCTCACAATATAATAATTGCAATATGGTTTAGCATTTATTGGGTTCATAATATGTGCTTTCTGGATCCCTTCCATTTCTTATACTATTTGTGTACGTTAGGATTTCCTCTATACATCAATTTTACCTGTGTTTCTACTCCCCATCATTTCCTCTCATTATAATTTCACCCTTTTTTTCTTTTTTCTTGTATTTCCTCCTTTTTATTTCCTCTTTTTTTTTCTTTTTAATGTCTTCCTTTTAATTCCTTTCCATTTTATTTATCCTACAAACACCTTCCCGATCCTCCGTTCCCTTTTAAATCATTAACTAGATGTTTCCCGCTTTGTCCCACACGTCTCCCTGCTCTATATAAGGCTCCTTCTGTGTCAGTGTTCTCCCTATGCTTGAGAAAGGAATGCACCGGTCCTCGGATCCTGCGCATGCTCAGAAACGCGTTGCATGCTTATGATGTCACACACCATCGCTGCTGCGCCAGAGTGTACAGGGACTTTCCAGGCTTTCACATCAAGGCTTCATCTAACACCTCTTCAGCACTCCCTACTGTTCAGCTGGAGTTCACACAGACTTGCCAGGTTTTCACACAACAGGCTTCACTCAACACCTGTCCAGTGCTCCCTGCTGTCCAGCCAGCATTCATGTTCACTGTTCCAGAATTCAACCACTAGGCATTGTGCTCTTTTAACCCCTTAGGAGCCTAGTTATTACCATCTACATGTGAGTGGTTTAATTCATGTTCACCATTAAATACGTCTTACAGTCTACACTCAGAGGCACTGTGTTTCTCTTCTCCAATATATTGTTTGTCCTGCCTGCAATATCAAATTTGACCACTAGATGGAGAAAGTAATTTACTGTTCTACAGAAACTAGAAACTGTTTAGATAAGAGTTAAGAATTAATAAAATTTCCCATGATTCTGAGAGAAAAGAGAGAGATGCATCTTGGGAGCTCAGACTCCATCTTAGAGACTGGGAGAGAAGGAACCAGGTACACTATATTGCCAAAATATTGGGATGCCTGGCTTTACACGCACGTGAACTTTATTGGCATCCCAGTCTTAGTCCGTAGAGTTCAACATTGAGTTAGCCCACCCTTTGCAGCTATAACAGCTTCAACTCTTCTGGGAAGGTTGTCCACAAGGTTTAGGAGTGTGTATATGGGAATGTTTGACCATGGTTCCAGAAGTGCATTTGTGAGGTTAAGTACTGATGTCGGACGAGAAGGCCTGGCTTGCAGTCTTTGTGCTAATTTATCCCAAAAGCGTTCGATCGGGTTGAGGTTAGGACTCTGTGTAGGCCAGTCAAATTCAACCACGCCATACTCACACACCTATGTCTTTATGGACCTTGCTTTGTGCACTGGTGCGCAGGCATGTTGGAACAGGAAGCGGCCATCCCCAAACTGTTCTCACAAAGTTGGGAGCATAAAATTGTCCAGAATGTCTTGGTATGCTGACGCCTTAAGAGTTCCCTTCACTGGAACTAAGGGGCCAAGCCCAACCCCTGGAAAGCAACTCGACACCATAACACCTCCTCCACCAAACTTTACACTTGGCACAATGCATTCAGGCAAGAACTGTTCTCCTGGCAACAATCAAACCCAGACACATCCATCGGATTGCCAGGCAGAAAGCCTGATTTTTCACTCCAGAGAGCAAGTCTCCACTGCTGTAGAGTCCATTGGCGGCGTGCTTTACATCATGTCATCCGACACTTTGCATTGCACTTGGTGAAGTAAGGCTTTGATGCAGTTGCTCAGCCATGGGAACCCATTCCATGAAGCTCTCTATGCACTGTTGTTGTGCAAATCTGAAGGCCACAAAAATTTTGGAGGCTCTGACTCTGCAAATAGTTGGCAGATAGTTGGCGACTCTTGTGCACTGTGTGCTTCAGCATGTACTGACCCCGCTCTGTCACTTTATGTGGCCTACCACTTTGAGGCTGAGTTGCTGTTGTTCACAGCTTCCACTCTGTTATAATACCACTAACAGTTGTCCATGGAATATTTAGCAACAAGAAAATTCACAGTTGGACTTATTGCACAGGTGCAACTTATTGCAGGGTACCACGCTTGAATTCACTGAGCTCCTGAGAGCGACCCATTCTTTCACAAATGTTTGTAGAAGCAGTCTGCATGCCTAGGTGCTTGATTTTATACACCTGTGGCCATGGAGGTGATTGGTGTGAAGAACGCGGTGTCAAACCCCTGACCTTCTCACCAAACTCATGACCAAAGGACTAGCCAATCTAAAACCATGATGTCACGTACGTAACAATTCCATGCCCAGCTGCACCCTGCACAATGATTTTCCAGCTAATTGGACCACAATCAGTGTACCAGCAGCCTGGGAGCGATTGTTACTGGGTCAGGTTAATTACGCAATTAACCCTTCACACTGCCACCACCTCCTTTTTGTACAGAGAAAGAGGAAACTCGGCTATACCAGCAATAACACTATGATGGTTGAGATAATCGTCTGTATAACACTGTCACCGCAGACCAGTTATACAGAGGGTTAAACAAACACAGTAGCGCTCTTTTAGAGGCAGGAATTTGTAAGTTGCAATACAGAGCTATAGAAACAGTTCAACACTTTCAGAAGGAAGAATTTATTACTAAAAGGTCAAAAGGGTGCAATAAAAATATTTACAGAAAAAAGATGTAACCAGTATATATATATATATATATATATATATATATATATATATACACAGACAACAACAGCACAGCAAAGAGGTAACAGAAAGGAGGTAAAGGGTTAAAGTACTTGCCAATCAGCCTTGGATTTGCAGATAAAGTTTCAAAACAAATGGGCACGTCTCCCTGGTTGGTTCTGATGGTAAAAGGGAGAATTCTTCAACTTCCTCTCTTAAGCCTGACAGCCCATTTTGTAGCTCCCTAGCAGGGGGTGTCTCTGAAGTAAAGGACCAATGCCCCGTTTATAGAGGGAAGGTCTGGGCGTAGGCCTAAACTAAAGCCAAAATCTCTATAGTTCATATTTTGGCTCATAACTTTTCCTATGCACAAGTGACATTCCACCCGCGGGTAGATTATTATGAAGACGCATCTGAGGAATAATAGGAAAATTATACAATGAATGGTTCAAGAGATCTACTTTTCTGCTTTCCTATGTATCCCAGCCAAGGAGAGTGACGTACCAAACTCTTGGTCTCCTTGTGGCCAATCTGAAGATATGCCTGGTTTTTATGTAAGTGTAACGGAAGTGTAGGCAGAACAGAGCACACGGAGAAGATGGGGAACACACAAACTTTATTGAAGCAACAAATTGACAGACACTCAATAGGGAAATGGCAGGGAGCGTGATGTGTGCGCAAACCAGGGACTATTCCAGGCATGGGGGGGGGATCTTCAGCGACAGGCAGGCAATCTCCCCCCCTCGACTTGGGGCCTCAGCCGAGCTCCCTCCGTGACTGGACAGCGGATTGGAGACTCGGGCAACAGGTGGCAACCTACCACTGGGCAGGGGCCTTGGGCAACAGACGGCAACCTACCACTGGGCAGGGGCCTCGGGCAACAGACGGCAACCTACCACTGGGCAGGGGCCTCGGGCAACATGACGGCAACCTACCACTGGGCAGGGGCCTCGGGCAACAGACGGCAACCTACCACTGGGCAGGGGACTCGGGCAACAGACGGCAACCTACCACTGGGCAGGGGCCTCGGGCAACAGACAGCAACCTACCACTGGGCAGGGGCCTCGGGCAACAGACGGCAACCTACCACTGGGCAGGAGACTCGGGCAACAGACGGCAACCTACCACTGGGCAGGGGCCTCGGGCAACAGACGGCAACCTACCACTGGGCAGGGGCTTCGGGCAACAGGCGGCAACCTACCACTGGGCAGGGGCCTCGGGCAACAGACGGCAACCTACCACTGGGCAGGGGCCTCGGGCAACAGACGGCAACCTACCACTGGGCAGGGGCCTCGGGCAACAGACGGCAACCTACCACTGGGCAGGGGCCTCGGGCAACAGACGGCAACCTACCACTGGGCAGGGGCTTCGGGCAACAGGCGGCAACCTACCACTGGGCAGGGGCCTCGGGCAACATGCGGCAACCTACCACTGGGCAGGGGCTTCGGGCAACAGGCAGCAACCTACCACTGGGCAGGAGACTCGGGCAACAGACGGCAACCTACCACTGGGCAGGGGTCTCGGGCAACAGACGGCAACCTACCACTGGGCAGGGGCCTCGGGCAACAGACGGCAACCTACCACTGGGCAGGGGCCTCGGGCAACATGACGGCAACCTACCACTGGGCAGGGGACTCGGGCAACAGACGGCAACCTACCACTGGGCAGGGGGCCTCGGGCAACAGACGGCAACCTACCACTGGGCAGGGGCCTCGGGCAACAGACGGCAACCTACCACTGGGCAGGAGCCTTGGGCAACAGACGGCAACCTACCACTGGGCAGGGCCTCGGGCAACAGACGGCAACCTACCACTGGGCAGGGGCTCGGGCAACAGACGGCAACCTACCACTGGGCAGGGGCTTCAGGCAACAGGCGGCAACCTACCACTGGGCAGGGGCCTCGGGCAACAGACGGCAACCTACCACTGGGCAGGGGACTGGGCAACAGACGGCAACCTACCACTGGGCAGGGGCCTCGGGCAACAGACAGCAACCTACCACTGGGCAGGGGCCTCGGGCAACAGACGGCAACTTACCACTGGGCAGGAGACTCGGGCAACAGATGGCAACCTACCACTGGGCAGGGGCCTCGGGCAACAGACGGCAACCTACCACTGGGCAGGGGCTTCGGGCAACAGGCGGCAACCTACCACTGGGCAGGGGCCTCGGGCAACATGCGGCAACCTACCACTGGGCAGGGGCTTCTGGCAACAGGCAGCAACCTACCACTGGGCAGGAGACTCGGGCAACAGACGGCAATCTACCACTGGGCAGGAGACTCGGGCAACAGACGGCAACCTACCACTGGGCAGGGGTCTCGGGCAACAGACGGCAACCTACCACTGGGCAGGGGCTTCGGGCAACAGGCGGCAACCTACCACTGGGCAGGGGTCTCGGGCAACAGACGGCAACCTACCACTGGGCAGGGGCTTCTGGGGTCAACGGGACTCTAGCTGTGGAGGCTGGCCACAGCACAACTCCCACCCAGCTTTCTAGGGTCATTGGGTTCACAGGGACTCAACAGGTAGCAATGGCTCAAGCACTCAGGGGCACCACAGGTAGCTATACTCTGGGCATGCCATCAGGACATGGGTGTTCAGTGCACACACAGCGGGGCGGTTCGGAACACGGGTGGTCGGTGCACACATCGGGGACAGTTCAGAACATGGGTGGTCGGTGCACACAACAGGAACAGTTCAGGACACGGGTGGTCAGTGCGCACAACAGGAACAGTTCAGGACACGGGTGGTCAGTGCACACAGCAGGAACAGTTCAGGACACGGGTGGTCAGTGCACACAGCAGGAACAGTTCAGGACACGGGTGGTCAGTGCGCGCAACAGGAACAGTTCAGGACACGGGTGGTCAGTGCACACAGCGGGGACAGTTCAGGACACTCACGGTAAGCAGCTTGCAGACCCTCAGCGGCAGGCGGCTCCAGACAGGGGACGACCAGCGGTCAGCGTTCCAGGGACAACCAGCGATCAGCAGACAGCAGCAGCTCCCAGGGCACTCAGCAGCAGACAGCCTCCAGGGACACGCAGCCATGGATAGTGTGCAGGGTCCCTCAGCCACAGCTCCAGGGCACTCAGCAGCAAGCAGGGTGCAAGGGTGCTCAGTAGACAGGCTTACAGACTGGCAGGGTCTCAGCTGTGGGGTCTGACCTTTGAGGAGAAGGCTCATGCAGAGCTGTGGAGACTCCCAACCCTGGGGTATTGTAGAGGGCTAGAGTCCTGACCTTTTGGGGGTCTGCAGAGTGCGCAGGGGGGATTGCTGGGGAGGCTCGGTCCCCCTCACCCGAGCCTCCCAACATCTTTCTGGGAGCAGGATGATTCTACCCACATGGCCAGGAACAAAAGGGAAGGCTGCTTCCTGTGTGGGTCTCTTGAAGATCATGTGGGACGCGGCTAGGTTGCCTCGGCAACGCTTGGCCCAGCCCTGTCCATGGAAGCCCCACAGACCTTCTAATGTACAAGGAGGAAGGGAGGGGTGGAGGGATATGGCGGGGGATGGGAGAGGCACTGGCAGTCTGTGACAACTCCTCCCCCTTCCATTTTACAAGTGCCCGAAAGGGGACCTCAACAGGTCTCCTTGGAGGCACTTGTGGGGTGCTATCGCTGTCCATCATCTTCTTCTGCGCTCTGGTCCTCCACTGCTGCCACCAGTGTAACGGAAGCGTAGGCAGAACAGAGCACACGGAGAAGATGGGGAACACACAAACTTTATTGAAGCAACAAATTGACAGACACTCAATAGGGAAATGGCAGGGAGCGTGATGTGTGCGCAAACCAGGGACTATTCCAGGCACGGGGGGGGGGGGATCTTTAGCGACAGGCAGGCAATCTCCCCCCCTCGACTTGGGGCCTCAGCCGAGTTCCCTCCGTGACTGGACAGTGGATTGGAGACTCGGGCAACAGGTGGCAACCTACCACTGGGCAGGGGCCTTGGGCAACAGACGGCAACCTACCACTGGGCAGGGGCCTCGGGCAACAGACGGCAACCTACCACTGGGCAGGGGCCTCGGGCAACATGCGGCAACCTACCACTGCGCAGGGGCCTCGGGCAACAGACGGCAACCTACCACTGGGCAGGGGCTTCGGGGACTCAACGGGACTCTAGCTGTGGAGGCTGGCCACAGCACAGCTCCCACCCAGCTTTCTAGGGTCATTGGGTTCACAGGGACTCAACAGGTAGCGATGGCTCAAGCACTCAGGGGCACCACAGGTAGCTATACTCTGGGCATGCCATCAGGACACGGGTGGTCAGTGCACACACAGCGGGGCGGTTCGGAACATGGGTGGTTGGTGCACACATCGGGGACAGTTCAGAACATGGGTGGTCGGTGCACACAACAGGAACAGTTCAGGACACGGGTGGTCAGTGCGCACAACAGGAACAGTTCAGGACACGGGTGGTCAGTGCACACAGCAGGAACAGTTCAGGACACGGGTGGTCAGTGCACACAGCAGGAACAGTTCAGCACACGGGTGGTCAGTGCACACAGCAGGAACAGTTCAGGACACGGGTGGTCAGTGCGCGCAACAGGAACAGTTCAGGACACGGGTGGTCAGTGCACAAAGCGGGGACAGTTCAGGACACGGGTGGTCAGTGCGCACAACAGGAACAGTTCAGGACACGGGTGGTCAGTGCGCACAACAGGAACAGTTCAGGACACTCACGGTAAGCAGCTTGCAGACCCTCAGCGGCAGGCGGCTCCAGACAGGGATGACCAGCGGTCAGCGTTCCAGGGACAACCAGCGATCAGCAGACAGCAGCAGCTCCCAGGGCACTCAGCAGCAGACAGCCTCCAGGGACACGCAGCCATGGATAGTGTGCAGGGTCCCTCAGCCACAGCTCCCAGGGCACTCAGCAGCAAGCAGGGTGCAAGGGTGCTCAGTAGACAGGCTTACAGACTGGCAGGGTCTCAGCTGTGGGGTCTGACCTTTGAGGAGAAGGCTCATGCAGAGCTGTGGAGACTCCCAACCCTGGGGTATTGTAGAGGGCTAGAGTCCTGACCTTTTGGGGGTCTGCAGAGTACGCAGGGGGGATTGCTGGGGAGGCTCGGTCCCCCTCACCCGAGCCTCCCAACATCTTTCTGGGAGCAGGATGATTCTACCCACATGGCCAGGAACAAAAGGGAAGGCTGCTTCCTGTGTGGGTCTCTTGAAGATCATGTGGGACGCGGCTAGGTTGCCTCGGCAACGGCTGGCCCAGCCCTGTCCATGGAAGCCCCACAGACCTTCTAGAGTACAAGGAGGAAGGGAGGGGTGGAGGGATATGGCGGGGGATGGGAGAGGCACTGGCAGTCTGTGACAGTAAGCTTCTCATATTCCAAGATATGAGACATGGGGAAAAATGGATTTTAAAAGTGTTATCTGGTTCGTGCTTCTCTGGAATGTCTTTAAACTCCTGGGAAGGCTTGCGTTATCTTTTACAATGTGCTAGATTGCATAGCTCTCTTAGACAACCAGGTGCTTTAGCTCAAAAATGTTTTATAGCTCTGGGGCTCCCTGCTGTGCCCTCCTCCTAACACAGAGGCCATATGTCAATGTGTATGAACAGAGAGGAAGGGGGGAGAATGAGGGGGAAATATGTTTGTCAAGATGGTTGACCCTTTGCCAAGATGGAGGTTGAAGCCAAAATGGTTGAACTGCGTCCATCTCTGGGTGTACGCTTGCTACAATTGGAACTCCTGAATCCAATTATTTGGAGGGGTGTCCTAATACTTTTGGAAATATAGTGTATCAGAGCTCATGTTGGAATAAGACCTTCATCTCTGCATCCCCTAAAGGCAGCATCACCGGTAGCCTTCAACCTTCTGCCATCTATAGCATAACTGTTCATTGTGTTTTCTGTATGTTCTTACAATAATTATATGTATGTCTTATTTTTTTTCCTAATAGTTTCACTCCACCCTGTTTGCTAATCAAGCTTCAAGATTACACTCAGTCTGGTTTATTGCAGAATAGGAAGGTTTAGCTGTATGTATAGCTACACACAGGGAAATGTGTAGTGAGGACAGAACAACCATTGCTATTCACTGTACATTTATGCAATGTAAGAAAAATGTGAAGTTCACCTTTAATGTTGTGTAGGCAGTGTAGCACCTTGCCATGTGACAACCATCTAACATCTGTGTGCAATTGAAAGCTATTGTTCACAGAGCCCATTTCATTACAATAGAGAGAAAAAATGCTTTTGCTTTGGCAGAATGTAAAATGGCATCTTGTGTATACAAATGACACAAGGAACAGCCTCTTTTATTATTGCTGTAAAGCCCTTTTTAGGAACTAGTTAGTAAAGTAAAGAAATTAGTACAATCTCCATACTGCTGAGGGCAGTGAAGGGGACACAGAACTAAGGATTTTGGAGCAAAAGCAGCCATTTGCAGGTAATTATTCATATTATTATTTATTACTACCTAATGGGTACGTGCTGTATTCAAAAAACTATTTTTTACTAAAGTTCATCTTTAAAAATATCTTCACATGTTGTTCCTCCTTCTAAGGATTCACAAAATAAAAACTCCTTGTATTGCCATCAAAGCAGAATCTCACATAAACAAGAAGCTGTGCTAAGTGCATTACATTTTTAGAATTTATGCCTAGACGTTTGCGCATTCATAACCCAAGTTATTTTTATATACGACTGTAAAATAAAGGAATATCAGATTATGTGTGGTTTCATAGTTTTGTCAATTAAAATAGGTCCAGAGATGCTTCTCCACAATTGACCTCTTATGTTTTCTAGATGTTTTCTTCGTCAGGTTTCATGCTTTCACTTGCTAACACTTCCCAACAAAGCCCACATTTGGATCTCTGATACTGTATATTATAAAAATGTTTTGAACAAAATCATAGTTTATATACAGTAGCTCTCTTTGTGTTTGCACTCACTTTTGCTTCTAGGATTAGGATGTTCACTGAAATGTTCTTACTTTTTCCTCTCCAAGCTCCCCCACTTTTTTCTCCTTGGACACCTCAGTGTTTTTAAAGCAATTTGGATTCTAATTTGCTGTAGTACGAGGTGCGTTCAAGTCAAACCAGGACTTTTGAGTTTATATAATAAACGAACAAAATTCAAGTAGTAAAAACTGCATTGATTTTTCAACATACTCCCCTGCTACATTTATGCACTTATCCGCTTTAACTAATGCCTGGAAAGCTTTGGCATAGAAAGGTTTGTCAGTATGCCTGAACCATCCTAGACCAGCCTGCTTCACATTGTCATAAATATTTTCACCGTTCCCACAGAAAGATTTGAGACTTTATTTGATTATCCAGGATTAAGCATGACACGTGCTGAATGTTCACAGGAATGACTACTGTGGGCTGGGAACCACCACAGCCGGGATTACCACTAATGGACGTACGGCCATCTTTGAAACGTTTACACCATTCAAAAGTCTTACTGCAGCTGAGCATCTCATCGTACTGTGCTTGAAGTCTTCTGTAGCTTTCCGCTGGTTTTACTCCTTTGTTCACAAGAAACTTCATCACCACACGCTGTTCCATGCACATGCACACTGTTATCTGCCATCTTGATTAACAGTCTATTGACTGGCCCGTGACATGTGCGCCGCCTATCAGTAATAGGACATACTTGCCACTTACTACTGTGCGTAGTACCACTACACTAGCATACAGGGGCGGACTGACAACTCATGGGGCCCCCGGGCAATAGGGGATCATGGGGCCCCTGTGTCCTTGCCCGAACTCAAAAAAGCCTATGAAAAAGGTACCAGAGGCATCTCATGGGGCCTCCTACTGAACCCGGGCCCTCGGGCAGTGCCCGAGTTTCCAAATGGTCAGTCCGCCCCTGCTAGCATACCTTTTTATACCTGTAAAATTAGAAGTCTTGGTTTGACTTGAACACCCCTCATAATTACAATATGTGCACAATAGCACAACAGCATGCACCTCTATCCACCTTTATGGCACCCAAGCAACACTAAAATACCCTCCTCTATTGTCCTGCATCAAGTCACAAAGAAAATTGTACCTCAAGCCTATGGGAGTGGGCATACCATGCACCCTCTGTCTACTCCATTACCTTCTTGGACCTATCTCTTTGTACAACATACATTCAACTGAGGGAAAACCTTTCCTATTTATTAAATCAAAGGCATAAACATCTCTTCTGCTCCACTGGGCATGAAGTTTGACAGTAGGAAATACAATTCCACTGGCGTACATCATCACATCACAGGTGTGTTTGGCATCGCAGCTCTCCTGCAAAGGCAGATAATGAAATAATGACAAGCATTGAGATGCAACCCACAGCAATTTTCTCACACCCCCAACTGATGTAATGACCCACGAGTTGGAAAATTTCTTATCTGGCAGTATAGTTGCTTTCTGATTGTAAGTGTTCTTTAGTTCCCTCTGCAGGAAAGCAAGGAGTCTCACACCGATGATGATCACATCCATATTTGTCATTGGCTTGCCCTTTAGTCTATACAATTTTTCCTGTTTTCTCTTGCCAAATCTCTCTAGCTCATTGTGCCCCATGCCTCAGTTCTGGCTCTTCTGTCTACTGCTATGTCCTACTATTTGGATTTTTACTGGTTCCTGCTCTATGTCTACCTGGAGTTCTCTGATTAAACAAGGTAGAGATCATGACATTCACACCCTATTCTCTTCACCTCATCCAATCATTTAATGCTTTGCATTCATTGGGAAAAATGCAGGGGGAGTGGCGGCATTGCCGAGCAATTGACTTCCCTATATCTCTTAGCATTGACCTCTGCTTTGACTAATGGCTTCTACTTACTCTATACACTCAGCTGTTTATTCCTGCTATGTATCTAAGGCCAGTTTCTGTGCCAGATGTTACACTTGTATACCGTACGTTTATACTTGAAGTTAAAATGGTTGTAAGGGTTAATTTTTTTTTACCCTAATCCATTCTATGGATGAAGGTAAAAAACCTTCCAGTTGCTTCCCGCCCCCTATTCCCCACTTTCTCTAAATACTTACCTGAGTCCTTTATGGAACCAGTGCTGTGCGGTTTTCTCTCCCCTAACAATTGTGGCCAAGAACAGTGAAAGCCATTGTCTCCTGCTGCTGTCATACAAATCCTGTGAGAAGGGAGCAGGGGGCGGGTCCGAGCCATGCTATGTGTGTCTATGGTGCACACAGCCCAGCTCAGGAGCAAACCTGCATGTGTGCCACCAT